TTAAATCAGTGTAAAACAAACAAAAAATTTTATTTAAATTAATTCACCTGTATTGAAATGTTTAATAAAAGTTTGGTTTATTTAATGCAAATTGAACTACGGGCGTTTGGTTACTTACAGGATATTATCCAATCGGCCAATAAAAAGTGTCCCCTCGGAAATGGCTATATCTCCTAAACGAAATGAGCTAGATCAAATCTGTAAAGTGCATAACGATGTTCCATATATGTAATATTTTTGTACAAAAAATTATTGAAATCACGTGACTAGAACATAGAAATTTTTGGGTCATTTCGAAATGTCATGTTTTTATCCCAGTTACAGGGGGGTTCGGAAGGGGGCGGGTATGCTATATGGTAGAGGACATGTCAAAGTATATGATAGCAAAATTTGATTAAGATTGGTTTCAAAAAATTATTGAAATCACGTGACTAGAACATAAAATATTTTGGGTCATTTCGAAATGACATGGTTTTAACCCATATGATAGGGGGGTCGGAAGGGGGCGGGTATGCTATATGGTAGAGGACATGTCAAAGTATATGATAGCAAAGTTTCATAAACATCGAATAAATAGTCTTTCTTAACGAACAATATATTTAAGAAATTTGACCCAATATTTGGACAAAAATAGCCCAATTTTGACCTTTTTATACTACATTTTGGTAGTTATAAAAATACAATATCAGAACAACTTTTCCCATAGACCTAATGTTAATGAAATCATCAATTTCTCGTAGATGGCTGAACCAATCTTAATCAAATTTTGTTATCATATACTTTGACATGTCCTCTACCAGATAGCATACCCGCCCCCTTCCGACCCCCCTATCATATGGGTTAAAACCATGTCATTTCGAAATGACCCAAAATATTTTATGTTCTAGTCACGTGATTTCAATAATTTTTTGTACAAAAATATTACATATATGGAACATCATTATGCACTTTACAGATTTGATCTAGCTCATTTCGTTTAGGAGATATAGCCATTTCCGAGGGGACACTTTTTATTGGCCGACTGGATAACATTTATTTAAATTATTATTGGTTCCGTTTAAACATTTAAGTTACTATAGAAATACATTTTCAATTTAATCTTCAGTTTATTTTTCTAATAAACACTTGATAAGTATATATTAGTATGATAATTATTTTAATTTATATTATAATGATGTCTGTATTATTTGAAAATGTAAAGTTTATTATTTAAAAGTTTTAAATTAAAACAATTACTTTAAAATTGAAATACTTTAATTTAAAATACTTTAAAACAATTGTTTAAATGTGTATTTTCAACTTAATAATTCTAGATCCTTAATTCTTAATATTAGATAATAATAGTTATAAAAAATTACCATCTTAACAAAAATAGACATACAATATTGTCATTTAAAATATAGCATACATGTTATAAATGTACTGTAGCATGTATGTTATAAATTATAAGTTATGATTTATAACCAGAGCATTGTTAAATGCATACTTGCATATATTTAGCGGTGCATAGTATCGGTGTGAGTGTCCTGATGTCCACCGATCATGTACTGGGAGTCACTTTAGCCGAGTTTATAAATGCATATAAATGCATATTTCATGGGTTACCGCATATTTTGACTATAACTGCATTTTAAGCGCATATTTTACAAATTTATTAAAAATGTATGAGGTTTTATGTTGTTATTTTGATATTTAGTTATTTGAAAGCTAATTAAAAACGTACCAAAATTATAAATGTGAATTAAGTCACATAAAATATATTGAAATAATTTTTTTGTTCTAAATAACATGAAAAACTAGGGAAATAAAATTTGCTCCAAAGTGTGTGCTTTGGAAACATTGATTAAAATTGAGCATTTATTACTAAATATATGCAAATACTCTTCAAATTATAGTTAAGTATTCAAATATTTTACCAAGTAACTTTATAATCGATATATTAATTGCAAAATTGCAATATTTATCAATAAATTTATGGAAAATAAATGCATATTTTAGTGCATATTTGGCTCTGTTTTCTTGCATATTATATGACATATTTGACTGCTTATAAATGCATATTTAGAAATGCTCTGTTTATAACATATAATGTTATGTCAATAATTACATAGACCTGTTCTCTTATATATGTTGCAAACATAAAACAATTTGTGAATATTTTTTACAACGATTAGTATTTATAATCCAGAGATCTTTCCAACTATTAAAAGTAATAATATTATGTCATTTACTAAACAAACAAATGTACATTAGTGTGATTGATTTAAATATGGAGGTTAAATTCATAAATAGGTACAAACATTGCCATAATAACTAAATATAATTAAATAAATAAATTAAACATTTGATATTTTTTTTTTATTAAAACCTGAAATCAGATTTTCATTGTATTAGAAATATATTTTATTTTACACAAAATGCACAATAATTTATACAATTTGAATGAAAACAAAAATATTGTTGAGATATTTCCTGACAGTAATAATATTTACGGCAAAAACGGTATTAATGTTAGCGACCAGTCGTTTGCTGTGGTTTGGAAAGACCTGTCGTATAGAGTGAAGCACCGGATCATCAAAGAGAAGACAATCATTGATGGGATCAGCGGTTATTTCAGGAGCGGACAAATCACCGCAATTCTCGGGCCATCCGGTTGTGGGAAGTCTTCGCTTCTCAACTGTTTGGCCGGAATCAAGAAGAAGGGGGTCTTTGGTTCCATAACTATTACCACAATGAAAAAAGTATAAATTTTTAATCAAGTAGAATATACTGAATATAATTTATAAAAATTAAACATTTCTCTCAACTGATCCACAGCTGAAGATATCGGTGATCGGACAGGAAGACCGGTTGGATCCACGGCTGACAGTGAGAGAGGCCCTGAACTACGCCTCGCGGCTCAAGAACTTGGAAAATATAGACCACAAACACAACGTTGAGATCACAATCAAACGGCTGGACATCGAGTCGTGCGCTGATGTGAGGGCTAAGCGATGCTCTGGTGGTCAACGGAAACGCGTGTCAATCGCTCTGGAATTGGTCTCCAGACCTAATATACTAATACTGGATGAGCCCACCAGTGGTTTGGACACAGCGACCACGTGGCAACTTATCAACACTTTACTAGACCTGACCCAACAGTCGCAGAAAGGTATGCCAATGTCAGTGGTGGCCACTATTCATCAGCCGAGTGGCAAACTCTTCAATTTGTTTCACTCGGTGTATATCATGTCATACGATGGGCAGTGTATATATCAGGGAACCCCACAATCGATGGTCAACTTTATGGCCCAATACGGTATGAAATGTCCTAAATTTCACAACCCATCCGATTATATACTAGAGGTTGCGTCCAAAGAGCACGGAGTGGGCAAAGCGCTACTATTGGCCTCAATCATGAAGATCGAGGCCTTAGATCTATTGCCGCATAAGTATAAAGTGATTCCTCGTTTTAAATACAATACAAGCAGTGATATCTGGACACTGACCCAAAGGTATTTGTCAATCATGATAATAACATACTAAATGTTTATTATTATGATAAACTCACAGGAGTTTTGTACTGTCCTATCGAGACCTATGGCTATTACCGATGCGAACGGCGGCCCATATTGTTATCGCTGTAATGATGGTCACCTTCTGGGGGTCGGAGAGCGGCCACCTGTCGGGCTGTGCCGACAACTTTGTGGCCGAAGGGACTGACTTTGTGAAGACCTTTGAGGACGTGTCGGTCAGACTTCAGGAGAATTTCAGTTGCATTGTTTGCATTTCGTTATTCACTTGGTTTGGGGCCATATTTGCTGTTTTGCTCACTTTTCCCACAGAAATGCACACATTTCTTAAGGTCAGGGTCATTTTTATTAATAATTAAACATGATTACATCAGTGTTCACATGATAATAAAAATTATTATAATCTGGCTGAATAGTATTGTAATTATATGACAATTATGTAGGAATACAGGAACGGATGGTACTCAATATACTCATTCTATATGGCCAAAGTGATCGTGGACACTTTCTGGCAACTGACTATACCCTTGATAATTATTATTCCCTCATTTGTCTATACGGGTCAGTACTACGAGACCGAACGCTGGCGTCTCTACTATTTCATAGGCATATGTCTACTGCTGGCCCTCTCGTCCACATCTATGGGACTAATAGTGAGCGCATATCTAATGGACTATCCGTCCGTCGCCTCCTTTATCGGCATAATAATGGCCTTTCCTTTAGTCCTCTTTTCAGGTATTGTTATTAAACAATACATACAATACGTCTAATTGATATATTAATACATAGAAATTGATAATTAATAAATCGTAATAACATTAATGTAATTTACTAAAGTACAACTTTGCTAAAAAAATTAATTGCCAGGTTTTATGATCCCGGTTAAAGACATGGGCAATGGTTTCCGGCACTTGACTTATGGCAATTTTATGCGTTTTGCACTCGAGGGCAATGCGATCGCTATTTACGGCTTTAACCGATGCGCCGGTGACCGACACAACCGCACGGCTATCGACTGGTCGGCACTCATTCCCGCCGATAGGATGACCGCAATCCTGGCCTCCGATCACATCAATGCCGATGCGTTGATGAATACAATGAGTCTGTTTAGCGGTCAGGTGTCAGATGAGGCCCAGTCTGTCATAATGACCAAAATGGATTATCACGACAATGACATGTATAGAGCAATTGTTATGCTCGTGGTTATTTTGATTGTGTACAAAGTGGGCACGTATTTTGTATTATTGAGAAAAATTAAAGCAATTGATAAATGATTAAAATTAACATTTAATTAATAATATTCAATGTTTATCTCTTATTTTATTTTAACCATAATTTTAATAAATAAATATCAGTTATGCATTTTAATCTCAATGCACTATTTATTTTGAAACTTACAAAATAGTTCGTTAGTTACATTACTAGTAACATTTATGCATTTAAATTGATTTACATACTAACAATATACTATGAATATGTAATTTAAGGTAGTTTAGGACAATTTAAACTTGTAAACTTTATAATCAAAAATAATTAAAATAAATAGTTAAAAATAAAAATTATATTTGAATTAATAAAATATAGCAAGTGATGCGTTTGTGTAAACAATTATTGAATAAAATTATTTATATATAATTTTTATTTGTATTGTTTTAATTATTTCAACATTTATAGTGTATTAATAGTAATAATGATATAAAATTATTATAGATTATAGCATAATATTCAATAATGACCATTAAACTGTAATATTTCTAAACTATATGATTGTGATACTAAACTGTATTGAGAAATAATGAACAAACAGTTTGTGAAATCAATTAAATAAATAGACTTTTAATTGAATTAAATTATGCTTAAATTCATGCAAAACAAATAATATAAAAATAATACATTTTGTCAGACAATTTATATACATGTAGTGACTGTTAATACTTATCAATTTAATGATAATTCAATCATTATATTTCACTTAACCTTAAAATATATGCCAATAAATGCATCAAAAACTGTAACAATCATATTTTAAAAATATTATAAAGTAATGAATTTTTAAGTGGAAATTTAAATTAAAATGTCAAGGTCAATCGGGAACTATGGTACATTTAACAAGTATATTTGTTAACATATACGTGACTTATTTTATGTATTTAACTGTTTACTCATAAAGCAATTGCCGATTGATATATAATAAGTTAATAATAATTTATAATACATAATAATAATAATGTCCGACAAAACTGCCGCCGAGTTTCACGACATAAACGGCAATGCGATCCAAATATTTCCCGAAAGTAACAATATTTACGGCACAAACGGTATTAACGTTAACGACCAGTCGTTTGCTGTGGTTTGGAAAGACCTGTCGTATAGAGTGAAGCACCGGATCATCAAAGAGAAGACAATCATTAATGGGATCAGCGGTTACTTCAGGAGCGGACAAATCACCGCAATTCTCGGGCCATCCGGTTGTGGGAAGTCTTCGCTTCTTAACTGTTTGGCCGGAATCAAGAAGAAGGGAGTCTTCGGATCAATTAGTATATCAACAAGAAAAAAGGTTTGATAATTAAAACATTATACTTAATATTGAGAATATAGTATATTTAAATTATTATATTTTAAATTTGTATAAAGTATTGCAATATATTTGTATTTAACGGATCCATAGCTGAAGATAGCGGTGATCGGACAGGAAGACCATTTAGACCCCCGGCTGACAGTGAGAGAGGCCCTGAACTACGCCTCGCGGCTCAAGAACTTGGAAAATATAGACCACAAACACAACATCGAGATCACAATCAAACGGCTGGACATCGAGTCGTGCGCTGATGTGAGGGCTAAGCGATGCTCTGGTGGTCAACGGAAACGCGTGTCAATCGCTCTGGAGTTAGTCTCCAGACCTAATATACTAATACTGGATGAGCCCACCAGTGGTTTAGACGTTGCGACCACGTGGCAACTCATTAATACACTGCTGGATCTGACCCAACAATCCCAGAAAGGTCAGCCCATGGCAGTGGTGGCCACTATTCATCAGCCGAGTGGCAAACTCTTCAATTTGTTTCACTCGGTGTATATCATGTCATACGACGGGCAGTGTATATATCAGGGAACCCCACAATCGATGGTCAACTTTATGGCCCAATACGGTATGAAATGCCCTAAATTTCACAACCCATCCGATTATATACTAGAGGTTGCGTCCAAAGAGCACGGAATCGGCAAACCTATGCTATTGGCTTCAATCATGAAGATCGAGGCGTTGGATCTGATCGCACATCCGTATAAAATTACACCACATTTTAAGTACAACACAACCAGTGATATCTGGACTCTAAGTAAAAGGTACATAATACGCAATATTATTGTTTATAAATTACTCAAACATTAAACATACAGCTAACTTTACTCAATTCACCTAGGACATTTGTATTGTCCTACCGGGACATATGGATGCTACCGTTGCGATCGGCCGCCCATTTGGCTACCGTTGGTCTATTGGTCGGGTTTTGGGGGCCGGAGAGCGGGAAGCTGTCGGGCTGTCCGGACAACTTTGTGGTCGACGGCGCCGACTTTGTCAAGACGTTTGAAGAGGTGGGCGACAAACTGAACGAGAACTTTGGCTGCATTTGTTTTATCGTGATGTTCACGTGGTTCGGCGCCATATTCGCCGTTTTGCTTACATTTCCCGCTGAAATGCATACGTTTCTGAAGGTATTTTACATTTATGTTTTTTTTGTATTCATGTATAGTTCAATTGTTATTAAATTGACAGAATATTCTGTAATATTGTCTAAAGTATTAAAGAATAATACATGTGTTTTATATCATACGCTATATTGCTATAGGAATATAGAAACGGGTGGTACTCAATATATTCATACTATATGGCTAAAGTGCTCGTGGACGTTTTCTGGCAGTTGACAATACCATTGCTTTTGATAATACCGGCATTTGTGGGCACCGGACAGTACTGGGAGACCGAACGCTGGCGTTTCTACTATTTTATAGGCATATGTCTACTGCTGGCCCTCTCGTCCACATCTATGGGACTAATAGTGAGCGCATATCTCATGAACTCTCCGACGGCCGCCGCCTTTCTCGGCATTATTACCGCATTTCCGTTATTCCTCTTCTCAGGTATTGTATTAAATTCCATACCATTGTATAGTAACCATTGATATTGTCTGGTATACGATAATTGCAATTGTGACCGTTTTCTCTCACATACAATTGCATGCACTATTAGCCTAATAGAATTAGGTAAATAAATATTACTAAGGCAATGCAATTATAACTTGACAAACACTATTTTGGGTATTATATGTATACTAAATAAATATTTATTCAATTTACATGAAAATAATGATGGTTAAAAATAACAATTATATATTGTTAATCGTATCATAGGCTTTATGATCCCGGTAAAGGACATGCCTAACGGGTTCCGGCACTCAACGTGGGGTAATTTTGTGCGCTTCGCCTTAGAGGGCACGACAACAGCCATCTATGGCTTCAACAGATGTCGATCGGATCCGATTGGGCCGAAGAAAGCGCCCATAGATTGGGGTTCACTCATAACAGAGCAACAGATGACCGCAATCCTGGCCTCCGATCACATCAATGCCGATGCGTTGATGAATACAATGAGTTTGTTTAGCGGTCAGGTGTCAGATGAGGCCCAGTCTGTCATAATGACCAAAATGGATTATCACGACGACGACATGTATAGAGCCATTGCGATGCTCATGCTCATTTTAGTGGTGCTTAAAGTGGGCACGTATTTCATCTTATTAAGAAAGGTTACGACAGTTGATGCATAATTGTAGCTATTTTTACCTTATGTAGTTTATGTAAAAATTACACAATTATCAAGTAGTTTTTTATTTATTACACTTAAAATTGAATGTTAAATCTTACCAAGTTTATTATAACTTATGTTAATATTTTAATTAGTTAACATTAGCTAATATATTAATAAATAGACAAATAATTTACAAGTAATCAATATTTAATGAATTATAATGGTAAAAAAGCGAATGAGCATAATTACACTTTGTTAATTTTTGTGTTTGAGGAATTTATAATTATTATTGGAAAAGCTAGCACATGTTTATTAGTGTAATCTGGATGCATTTAATATTAAATTATGTTTTTTTGCTAATGTAAATTTATATAAAACAAACACACTTGTTAATATTTGTTTGCGTAAAAATTAAAACACATGATCAATTATGGAAATAAATAAATTATGATAAAACACATATGAATTACAAGAAACGTACGACAAAATTGTAGTTAATTTTATATCTCATTAATAAACGTGGGCTCAGTTGGCATGTCTTCGGGTCTTTCCGGCGATGACTTTGCGGTCGTCTCTTCGCCAACAATTAGATCCAATGGTGATTGTGTTGTGGATGTTGTGGTAGTTATCTCTCGGGCCTCGGAAGTTGTTACCTCACTATCAGCGATAATGATGGCGCCTGTAGTGGGCAACTCAGCGCCAGTGGCACCGGTGCTCATCCGCACTGGAGTATTGGTAACTGAATCTGATTTTATATCATTACTCAAGTCATTGGCGGTGATATCGTTGCCAATTGGTCCAAAAGTAACAGCATTTGTGGAAATATCGTTAAGAAGTGGTCCAGAAGTAACAGCATTTGTGGTGATATCGCTGTCAATTGCTCCAGAAGTAACAGCACTTGTGGTGATATCGCTAAGAAGTGATCCAGAAGTGACCGCATTTGTGGTCATATCGTTGTCAATTGGTATAGAAGTAAAAGCATTTGCGATGATATCGTTGACAAGCGGTCCAGAAGTGACAGCATTTGTGGTGATATCGTTAACAATAGGTCCAAACGTAACGGAATTAGTAGTCATATCGTTATCAATGGATGTGTCAGTACTGGCGGCGATGTCTACAGAGACACTTCCCGGTGTTGTCAACCGACCAGAAGTTTCAGACACTAAATCGGATTCGCTATCATTATGTATGGGACGGATAGTAGACTCGCTATTGGTTGTGGCGCTGATAGTGGTAAACAATTCAGCGCCGGTCATACCGGTGCTCATCGGCGCCGCAATATCTGTAACGGTTTCGGACTTTATTTCGTTGTTTATGTCGATAACAATCGGTTCGGCGGTCATGTCGTTGACAACTGGTCCCAAAGTGCCAGCACTTGTGCCCAAATCAACTGAGTTGGTGTCCACTGTTGTCGAGGCGCCGGCAGTCGACGTATCGGTCATTAAATCCGAATTGATTTCATTATGAATGGGATGGACAACAGTGATGGCCGGACTGGCAGTTGTGGTGATAGCACTGTTGCTATCAATGTCTGAATGGGTTGTAATAATTGAGTTGGTGGTAGCGATGTCTTCGCTGAGATCTGTTGTGGTGATCAATCCCTCAGCAATACTCTCGCTGGTGGTATCGGCGGCTGTGGTCAACCGCTCGGCACCCGCGGGTTCGCGACTCATACCAATCGGAGTAGTTTTCACTAAATCTAACTTTAATTCATCGGTGTTGGTGTCGGCGCTGACCATTGGCTGAGCTGTGATCTCGTTGACAACTGATCCCAAAGTGACAGCACTCGTAACGATCTCATCAGTGTTACCGGCGATGACTGTTGTCGGGGCGTCAGTGGCCGTTATCGACGGGACGGGCGTTTCTGTCACTGAATTCGGTTTTGGCTCTGTCTGTACGGGACGGACAGTGGACTCAATATCGGCGGCGCCGGCGGTTGTCGGCAGCGACTCATCACCTCTCAAACCGGTGCTCATCTGAACTGTACTATCGGTCACTGAATCGGACTTAATATCGCCGCTCAAGTCATTGACTTTGGTTTCGGTGCTGACGATTGGTTCGGCGGTGATATCGTTGACAACTGGTGCCAAAGTGGCAGCACTTGTGGCGATTTCATCTGAGTTTGTGTCCACTGTTGTCGGGGCGCCGGTAGTCAACGCGTCGGTCATTTCGGTCACTGAATCCGATTTGATTTCATTATGTATTAAGCGGACAGTAGACAGAGTATCAACGGTTGTGGTCAACTCTGCGCCTGTGGTCACTATTTCGGGGCTTAAGGTATTGGTGCCGACCATTGGCTGAGCGGTGATATCGTCGACAACTGGCGCTCCGGTAGTGACAGTACTTGCGATGATCTCAGCGGAGTTGGTGTCCACTGTTGTCGGCGCGCCGGTGGCCGCCAACCGGACAGGCGTTTCGGTCTCATTAGGTATGGGATGTGTTGCTGAAGACTCACTGTTGCCGCTGAGCTCTGAAACCGTAGTCTCTGTAACGATCGGATCCGCTTGAGTGACAGCTACAGTGGTTGGCTGTGATGTGACGGCTAGTGATGGTATGTCTTGTGTGGAAAGTGTTGTCAATTCAATGTCTGGTAATATAATGGATGCCAATGTGGTTGTCGTCTCTGGTATATCATCGGACGCACGACTGGTATTGTCTGTGCTATCCATCACTTTGGGTGAAACTGTGGTATAATCAGTGGCCGCATCTGTGGTCCGAGTAGTGGTGGTGTCAGCAGTGATGGCAATGTTTGGCGATTCTGTGTCAACGACTACTGAACTGGAACTACTGGTGACGGGCAGGGGATCGGCAGCTGTGGTGGTAGTAGTGGTGATCAATACACTTGTAGTGATTGGACTGTCGTTTGTGTCCGCAGTAGTAATAGTAGTGACCGGAAGGTCGATAGGGATTAAATGTTCAGTAGTGGTGACTGAACCGGCATTTGTGACAGTACTGGCGCTTGTGATGGTCGCACTTCTACTCGGGATCGAGTCGGTGGTAGTGATGGTGATGTCAACCGGAGTGGTAGTCGTGGTAATAGATCTATCAGTTATTGCCGGACTCGTGGTAGTGATGGTGTCGGCAGTAGTCGTATCTGGATTGACAGTGGTTATGACCGGATGGCCAGAAGTTTTAGGCTCTGTAGTAGTAGTAGTAGTGGTGACCATGTTTTCCGCAGCACCAGTAGTGGGCACATCTGTCACCGCATCGAAACTACTAATTGATTTGTCATGAGTGGCCACTTCGAGGCCGATAGTGGTCATGGAGTCGGTGGTGATAGTTGTGGGACTAGAATCAGATGACATTAACGTATCAATTGTGGTCATTGCGGATGCGATCGGTTGAGTAGTGGTGTCTACGCCTGGGCTGGTAGTGGCGGTGGCGGCGCCCGACTTATCAATGATGGCCGAACTGGTGGTAGCGATCGGGTCGTCACTAATAGTGATGCCTGGGCTGGCATTTGTAACAGTGGCCGGACTTGTATTGGTGTTTGCATGAGTGGTAATGATCTCTGAACTGAAAGTAGTAGTGATGGCAGCGCTTGTAGTGGTAATGATGGGACTGGTAGTAGTGGTGTCGGGGATAGTAGTGTCCTTATCTGCTGGGCTGGTGTTTGTGGTGATGGGTTTATCCGTAGTGTCTACTCTAGCGCTGGTCACCGGCTTAGTAGTAGTGTCGGCCGCATTCGTAGTAGTGATTGGCTCTGCACTAGTGGTGTCCGGACGGGTAGTACTTGTGATCGGCTCATCAGTGTTGGTCTGATGGGTGGTAGCAATCGGGTCGGCGGTAATTATGACCGAACCAGTAGTAGTGATCGGATTGGTTGAAGTGGTGTCCGGTCTGGAAGTGGTAATCATCGACATAATAGTGGGAACTGGTCTCGCGTTGGTTATCGGGATAGTAGTAGTAGTGATGGCAGCGCTTGAATTGGCGATGTCTGGAGTGGTAGTAGTTGTGAACACACTGTCCCTTATGGCCGCAATGATGGTAGTAATAATGGAATGTCCGGTAGTTATTGGGTCGGGTGTAGTGGTGGTGACCGTACGGACGGTAGTAGTAGTGATGGCCGGACTCGTAGTGGTTATATCTTCGCGAGTAGTAGTAATCGGTTGAGTTGTAGTGATGGCGGGACTGTTAGTGTTGGCAATATTAGTGGTGGTGATCGGCCTATCGGTAACTGTTGGACGAGTAGTAGTGATGGGAACTTCGGTGACGACAGCGCTTATAATTGTGCCAATCGGACCACTAGTGCTCGTATCTGAAGTGGCACTTACTTTGCTTGTAGTTGTCATTGATTTCTCGGTGATGGCCGGATGTGCGCTAGTGATTGGGTCTACAGTAGTAGTGACTGGACTGGCAGTAGTGACAACACTGGCACTTGTTATGATCGGACTTCTAGTTGCATCAGTAGTTGTAATATCCTGACTGACAGGTGTTGTGGTGATAGACCTATCAGTGATGGCCGCACTTTCCGTAGTGACCGGGACTGCAGTAGTAGTGACCGGACGGGCGGTAGTTATCGGGACTGCAGTAGTCGTGTCCGGACGGGCGGTAGTGATCGGGACTACAGTAGTAGTGACAGGACGGGCGGTAGTTATCGGAACTGCAGTAGTCGTGTCGGGACGGGCGGTAGTGATTGGGACAGCAGTAGTTGTGTCCGGACGGGTGGTTGTGATCGGGACTACAGTAGTAGTTAATGGGACGGCAGTAGTAGTGACCGGACGTGCGGTAGTGACCGGGTCTGCAGTGGTGGTGACTGAACTGCCAGTTGTGACAGTACTGGCACTTGTAATGGCTGGACGTTTACTTGCGATTAAACCGGTGTCAGTGATGTCTGAACCGGTAGTTGTGATCAATCTGTCAATAACTGGCGGACCGGCTGTAGTGGTCGGGTCTGCGATAGTGATGGCTGAACTGGCATTCGCTTTAGGGCTGGTAGTAGTGATGGCCGGACTGGTTGTTGTGGTGATCGGCGCAGAAGTTGTTGTTATCGGACGGATAGTAGTGACTATCGGAGCGGTAGTAACGATAGGACTGGCAGTAGTGACGGTCGACCGACTAATCGGGTCCGAACTGGCAGTAGTTGTGATCATTACAGGTGTAGTATTAATTGATGTATTTTTGACGGCACCGGTAGTCTCAGCTTCTTTTAAGTCCACGACTGTATTATTTGATTTATTATCGATCGATGTGTTGGCAGTAATAGTGGTTATTGGGCTGAAAGTGGTGGTGATTGGCC